TCCCCCCGTGTCTCCCCCCGTGTCTCCCCGTGTCCTGTGTCTCCCTGTGTCTCCCTGTGTCTCCGTGTCTCCCCCCGTGTCCCCCGTATCTCCCCCAGTCTCCCCCGTGTCTCCCCCCGTGTCTCCCTGTGTCTCCGTGTCTCCCCCCGTGTCTCCCTGTGTCTCCCTGTGTCTCCCCGTGTCTCCCCGCATCTCCCCCCATGTCTCCCCCCGTGTCTCCCCGCGTGTCTCCCCGCGTGTCTCCCCCCGTGTCTCCCCGTGTCTCCCCCGTGTCTCCCCGTGTCTCTCCCCGTGTCTCTCCCGTGTCTCCCCGTGTCTCCCCCCGTGTCTCTCCCCGTGTCTCCCCCCGTGTCTCCCCCCGTGTCTCCCCCGTCTCTCCCCCCGTGTCTCCCCACGTGTCTCCCCGTGTCTCCCCGTGTTTCCCCCCGTGTCCCCCGTCTTTCCCCCCGTGTCTCCCCGTGTCTCCCCGTGTCTCCCCTGTATCTCCCCACGTGTCTCCCCATGTCTCCCCCCGTGTCTCCCCGCGTGTCTCCCCCCGTGTCTCCCCGTGTCTCCCCTGTATCTTCCCACGTGTCTCCCCGTGTCTCTCCCCGTGTCTCCCCCCGTGTCTCCCCCGTCTCTCCCCGTGTCTCCCCCCGTGTCTCCCCCGTCTCTCCCCTCGTGTCTCCCTGTGCCTCCCCCCGTGTCTCCCCGTGTTTCCCCCCGTGTCCCCCGTCTTTCCCCCTGTGTCTCCCCGTGTCTCCCCTGTATCTCCCCCCGTGTCTCCCCGTGTCTCCCCGTGTGTCCCCGTGTGTCCCCTGTATCTCCCCACGTGTCTCCCCCGTGTCTCCCCATGTCTCCCCGTGTCTCCCCCCGTGTCTCCCCCCGCTTCTCCCCGTGCCTCTCCGTGTCTCCCCGTGTTTCCCCCCGTGTCCCCCGTCTTTCCCCCTGTGTCTCCCCGTGTGTCCCCTGTATCTCCCCACGTGTCTCCCCCGTGTCTCCCCGTGTCTCCCCACGTGTCTCCCCCCGTGTCTCCCCCCGTGTCTCCCCTGTATGTCCCCACGTGTCTCCCCATGTCTCCCCCCGTGTCTCTCCGCGTGTCTCCCCCCGTGTCTCCCCGTGTCTCCCCTGTATCTTCCCACGTGTCTCCCCCGTGTCTCCTCGTGTCTCCCTACGTGTCTCCGTGTCTCCCCCCGTGTCTCCCCGTGTCTCCCCCTGTGTCCCCCCCGTATCTCCCCCGTCTCTCCCCCGTGTCTCCCTGTGTCTCCCTGTGTCTCTCCGTGTCTCCCCGCGTGTCTCCCCGCGTGTCTCCCCCCGTGTCTCCCCGTGTCTCCCCACGTCTCCCTCCGTATCTCCCCCAGTCTCCACCGTGTCTCCCCCCGTGTCTCCCTGTGTCTCCGTGTCTCCCCCGGTGTCTCCCTGTGTCTCCCTGTGTCTCCCCGTGTCTCCCCGCATCTCCCCCCATGTCTCCCCCCGTGTCTCCCCGCGTGTCTCCCCGCGTGTCTCCCCCCGTGTCTCCCCGTCTTTCCCCCCGTGTCTCCCTGTGTCTCCCCCCGTGTCTCCCTGTGTCTCCCCCCGTGTCTCCCCGTGTTTCCCCTGTATCTCCCCACGTGTCTCCCCGTGTCTCCCTGTCTCTCCCCCCGTGTCTCCCTGTGTCTCTCCGTGTCTCCCCGTGTCTCCCCGTCTCTCCCCCCGTGTCTCCCTGTGTCTCCCCGTGTCTCCCCGTGTCTCCCCGTGTCGCCCCGTGTCTCCCCGCGTGTCTCCCCGTCTCTCCCCCCGTGTCTCCCCCGTGTCTCCCCCCGTGTCCCCCCGTGTCTCCCCGTCTCTCCCCCCGTGTCTCCCTGTGTCTCCCCGTGTCTCCCTGTGTCTCCCCGTGTCTCCCCGTGTCTCCCCGTCTCTCCCCCCGTGTCTCCCCTGTCTCTCCCCCCGTGTCTCCCCGTGTCTCCCTGAGTCTCCCCCCGTGTCTCCCCGTGTCTCCCCGTGTCTCCGCTGTATCTCCCCACGTGTCTCCCCGTGTCTCCCCCCGTCTCTCCCCCCGTGTCTCCCTGTGTCTCCCCGTGTGTCTCCCCACGTGTCCAGACGGCGAGGGGCTGCGTGCCAAGATGTACGACATCACTCAGCACCCGTTCTTCAAGCGCAGCATCGCACTGCTCGTTATGGCCCAGTCACTGCTGCTCTCTGTCAAGGTGGACACTCACTCAGTCACTCAGTCACTCACTCACTCAGTCACTCAGTCACTCTGTCACTCACTCAGTCACTCAGTCACTCACTCAGTCACTCACTCACTCACTCAGTCACTCACGGTCACTCACTCTGTCACTCAGTCAGTCACTCACTCAGTCACTCACTCAGTCACTCACTCACTCAGTCACTCACTCACTCAGTCACTCAGTCACTCACTCACTCAGTCACTCACTCACTCAGTCACTCATTCAGGCACTCACTCACTCAGTCACTCTGTCACTCACTCAGTCACTCTGTCACTCAATCACTCCCTCACTCTGTCACTCACTCAGTCACTCACTCAGTCACTCACTCAGTCACTCAGTCACTCAGTCAGTCACTCTGTCACTCACTCAGTCACTCTGTCACTCAATCACTCCCTCACTCTGTTACTCACTCAGTCACTCACTCAGTCACTCACTCAGTCACTCAGTCACTCAGTCAGTCACTCACTCTGTCACTCTGTCACTCAATCTGTAGAACAGGGGGAGATCACACAAACTCCACTCTGTGTGCGTGTGTCTGTGTGCGTGTGTCTGTGAATGTGTGTGTGTGTGTCTGTGTGTCTGTGTGTGTGTGTGTCTGTGTGTGTGTGTGTGTGTCTGTGTGTGTGTGTGTGTCTGTGTGTGTGTGTGTGTCACTGTGTGTCTGTGTGTGTGTCTGTGTGTGTGTGTGTCTGTGTGTGTGTGTGTCTGTGTGTGTGTCTGTGTGTGTGTGTCTGTGTGTGTGTCTGTGTGTGTGTGTGTCTGTGTGTGTGTCTGTGTGTCTGTGTGTGTGTGTGTCTGTGTGTGTGTGTGTCTGTGTGTGTGTGTGTCTGTGTGTGTGTCTGTGTGTGTGTGTGAGAGTAGTGGGTGGTGGACCAACCCCCCACCGTGCCGCTGGCCACCGTCTCCGTGATCTTCACTTTCGTCTTCAT